GTCACAATCAGCCCAGTGGGAAAAGCCAAGGCGTAAGATGAGAGGCACATCAGGTAGGTGCTGAGTCACGTGGTAGGTCAGTCTCCTCGGTGGACGCTTCCCAGGAAGAAAAGGAGACACGCATGATCTAGAAGAGACCAAAACGATGTAACGATGATTCCCGCGGGCAAGACTCCAGGCAATAAAATCACACCACCTGTGTGGCTGGGCCCAGCGGTGAGTCACTCTTTCTTTTGTAAGCATAGCCCAGTCAGGAGAGCAGAGTGACCTCACCTAGGTGCTGGGCCCAGAGACATGTCACATCCTCTCCTGTGGGCAAAGAGCAGGCATAACAAGACAATCCTTTTGAGCAGTTGAGCTCCCAGAGATACGTCACAGTGGTCTCCGTGGACAGGGTTCATGCAGGAGACTCATGTCACATTTATTATAACAACATTCTCATGACTTATGAAGCTTCCATGATGCTTATCTAAAAAAACTGGCCCAATCAAGAAATAAAATTACTTATGTCCGTTATGAAGGGGGAAAAAAAAAAACGGTAACTTAAGAAAAGTAGGCTTATATAGGGTTCTCCAAATAAAAGAACAAAATCGAACATTCTAACTAAATAAAGTTTAGTACACTAATTTTGGAATTATAGCTAAAATTATTTTGTGTGCATAACTTACATTTATTTATTTATTTATTTATTGAGAGTCTTCCTCTATTGCCCAGCCTGGAGTATAGTGGTGTCATCTTGGCTCACTGCAACCTTCACCTCCCTGGTTAAAGCTATTCTCCTGCCTCAGCCTCCGCAGTAGCTAGGATTACAGGGGTGCACCACCATGGCTCACTAAGTTTTGCATTTTTAGCAGACACAGGGTTTCATCTTTTTTGCCAGGCTGATCTCAAAATTCTGACCTTAGTCGATATGCTCACCTCGGCCTCCCAAATTGCTGACATTACAGGTGTGAGCCACTGTGCCTGGCCCATGACTAAATTTTATTAAAATCATTCTTATAAGCACATAGAAGCTCACATACTTAGTACTCTGTAAACTATAAAACAAAAAAATATATATAAGAAACAAGAAAGTCATGGGTCTAGCATAAGTACCAGGCAAGTAAAAACAGATAATTTGGATGGTGAGACTCTGAACTGTAAGCCACAATATATTACAGTAATCAATTCAATACAAAGTAGAAAGTATAGATTGGCAGCTTTGCACAATGGTGGTATTGTAGTCAAATGAGGTTTATCTGAAGCAGAATTATTGCTAATTGAAAACTTTTCCCACTACCCTGCTAGGATGAGGTGAACTGGCAATTTTTGGCAGTCTCTACAGGGACTGAATTATTTTTTTTTTAAAAAGAAAGTATAGATTTGCATTCAGCATTTCGGAGGATTTTTGTTTTCTAAAATATCAGACATCTGGCTGGGTGTAGTGGCTCATACTTGTTATCCCAGCACTTTGGGAGTCCAAGATGGGTGGATTCACCTGAGGTCAGGAGTTCAAGACAAGCCTTATTAATATGGTGAAACTCCATCTGTACTAAAAATACAAAAATTATCCAGGTGTGGTGGCCTACACCTGTAGTCTCAGCTACTGGGGAGACTGAGAGAGAAGTCCTTGAATCCAGGAGGTGGAGGTTGTAGCCAGCTGACATTGTGCCACTGCACTCCAGCCTGGGCAGGTGAGATTCTGTCTCAAAAATACTAAAAATGATAGAAAATTAGACACCTAATTAAAATAATTTGTTTTCTTCCAATATTGATTTTTTACTCTGAAAATACAAACTCATACTCAAATAATTTTCTTATGCCTAAGGTTTACATTTAGACTAATAGATGTGTATGTTTAACGTTATGTAAATGAAAACTAAAAGTCTGTATGTTTGCAAACATACAGGCCACATATTCAAAGAAAAATACATAAGAAATTTTAAAAAGTATTTATTCAGGATTCATATGATTAAATTTTATTTATAGTTGTATATAACTTTTAGTATTACAAAAATGATTCTGTAGTCAATAACAATACATTGTAGTTAAAAATAACTAAAACTGTAGAACTGGACTGCAATGCAAAAAAAATAAATTCTAGAGGTAATGAATACCTCATTTAACTTAACGTGATTATATACTGTATAGCTCTATCAGAATATGTAGATATAACAAATATTATGTACCCACAAAAATTAACACAAGTAAATTTAAATGTAAAAAAAGAGAATAACAATTTTACCTACAGGAATAATATTCCCTATTTGCAGTTTTAAGCCACTGGCAAAAAAGATTACTAGAGATGTTAGTCCATTATTTAACCAACTAGCGTATTCTTACCATCTCTTACTTACAGCCTTGAGTAAGGGGGACTAGGTTAAAGAAAGTGGATTAAGATTTACTTTAATGCACAATATTTAACATGTGAAAAATGTTGACTTAAGAAATTAAGTTCACATGTAATCTGAAATTGTTAACACATACCACATTTTGTTTCATAAAAGTACAATTAGTGAAATATTTTACTAACTAATTTTTTTTTTTTTTTTTTGAGATGGAGTCTTGCTCTGTCACCCAGTCTGGAGTACAGTGGCACAATCTCGGCTCACTGCAACCTCCACCTCCTGGGTTCAAGTGATTCTTCTGCCTTAGCTTCCCGAATACCTGGGACTACTACAGGTATGCATCACCAAGCCCTGCTAATTTTTTCTTTTTTTTTTTTTTGAGACGGAGTTTTGCTCTTGTTACCCAGGCTGGAGTGCAATGGCGCGATCTCGGCTCACCGCAACCTCCGCCTCCTGGGTTCAGGCAATTCTCCTGCCTCAGCCTCCTGAGTAGCTGGGATTACAGGCACGCACCACCATGCCCAGCTAATTTTTTGTATTTTTAGTAGAGACGGGGTTTCACCATGTTGACCAGGATGGTCTCGATCTCTTGACCTCGTGATCCACCCGCCTCGGCCTCCCAAAGTGCTGGGATTACAGGCTTGAGCCACCGCGCCCGGCCTAATTTTTGTATTTTTAGTAGAGACGGGGTTTCAACACATTGGCCAGGCTGGTCTCAAACTCCTGACCTGGTGATTCACCCACATCAGTCTTCCAAAGTGCCACAATTACCAGTGTGAGCCACTGCATCAGGCCAATTTAACTATTTGTCTCTTAATGCACAAGAATATTACTCTGCACACTTACCTCATGCATCACTCACCTCATGCATCACTCAATATTGTAAGTTAGCCACAAAGAACCTTTTTACTTAGATTTAGATTTTCATCATGCATCTCACATTTTAATGTACTCGCTCTTTCATAAAAGAGGTCATAAATGCTCACCTAATAAAAAAAATCTCATCTTTGATACAGCAATAATTGGTCACATGCTTTTATGTATGAATACAATAGGAATAAAGCAACAGGATGGGCCTGACAGAGTGGCTAACACCTGCAATCCCAGCACTTTTGGAGGCTAAGCTGGGCAGATCACTTGAGGTCACGAGTTTGAGAACAACTTGGCCAACCTGGCAAAACTCCACCTTCACTAAAAATACAAAACATAGCCAGGCATGGTGGTATGTGCCTGTAATCCCAGCTACTAGGGAGGCCGAGGCAATTGTGTCACTTGAACCCAGAAGTTGGAGGTCGCAGTGAGCCGAGATCACACCAATGCACCCCAGCCTGGGTGAGAGAGTGAAACTCTGTCATTAAAAAAGGAAACATTTCATTAGCATGAAGTAATTTGAGAATTAATTACAACATTTTTACTATGAAGTAATTACGGGGTTAACTACCACAATATTTGCTTCTGAAAAAATCTGTAATCTTTCCTAAAAAAGTATACTTGTAATTATAACTCTTCAAAAAACTTTCTAATCTTTTAAAGTTACATACAATTTTTCTACCAACTTTAGTTTTGGATGATTTTCTAAACTCAGAATACTGGTTTAGTGTAACGACTGAAGTGTTAGTGCCTTAATTATTTTCAATTGTCTGATATTTACATAGACTTAATTTTTGATTAAATATTTTTTTCCTATGTACTCAATCTGCAAAAATATGTTTTACTATAAACTCTCTGGGATTTTCTAAGCTTTAGCTTTTAAATAAATGATTTTTCCCCAAAGTTATTATATTTCCATAGTTTTTTATATATTCTCTGATACTGAACAAAGTTTGAGCAATTGCTTCAGGGTTTGCCTCTAATACAAAATAACAAAATCTGTGTTACACATAAAGGTACTACAACTCTCTTTATACTTGGAAAGTTTGTCTTTGAAATAAATGCTCTTCAGCACTTTAAAGACTGAAGAATGTTTTGAGAGAATTGCACTTTTAATGCTTTAAGTATAAACTCTTTCATGTACAGTAAGATTGTGAGCAGACATTAACCACGTTTTAACTTTCATTTGTACATTTGTTCTCAAGTATAAATGCTTTCCTGTGCAATAAGGTGTGAGCATTATGTAAAACTTTTGCAACATTGTTTATACTTCTAAAAGTTTTCTCCAGTATGAATTACCTTACCTACAATCAAGTGTGACAACCATTTAAAGGGTTTGTCACATTATTAATATTTCTCACCGGCATAATTTCTTCTATGTTTGGAAATGTTTGAGGTGTTGTCCCAAGCATTGTCACAACTTTAGGGTTTCTAGAGCGTCTCTCCAGTATGAATCATCTTATGTCTGTTAAGGATTGAGGACTAATTAAAGGCTTTGCCACATTCTTCACACTTGTAGGGTTTCTCTCCATTATTAACTATCTTAGGTCTAATAAGATTTGAGGACTCGCTAAAGGCTATGCCACTTCCTTCACATTTGTAGGATTTCTTTCCAGTACAAATTCTCTTATGTGTAGTAAGGTTTAGAGATTGATTAAAAGCTTTGCCACATTCCTAACATTTGTAGGGTTACTTTCATATGAATTATCTTATGACTAGCAAGGTGTGAGAACCTGCTAAAGGCCTTGCCACATTCTTCACATTTGTAGAATTTCTCTCCAGTATGAATAGTTTTATGTGTACTAAGGTGTGAGGATTGGCTAAAAGCTTTGCCACAGTCTTCACATTTATAGGGTTTCTCTCCAGTGTGAATTTTCTTATGTGTAGTAAGGGTTGAGGACTGGTTAAAAGCTTTACCACATTCCTCTCATTTGTAGGATTTCTCCCCAGTATGATTCCTCTTATGGGTAGTAAGGTGGGCGAATTGGTAAAAGGCTTTTCCACATTCTTCACATTTGTAGGGTTTCTCTCCAGTATGAATGATCTTATGTTTAGTAAGGTTTGATGAATGGTTAAAAGCTTTGCCACATTTCTCACATTTGTAGAGTTTCTCTCCAGTATGAATTATCTTATGTGTAGTAAGGTTTGAGGATTGGTTAAAGGCTTTGCCACAGTCTTCACATTTGTAGGGTTTCTCTCCAGTATGAATTATCTTATGTCTAGTAAGAATTGAGGGTTTGTTAAAGCCTTTGCCACATTCTGCACATTTGTAAGGTTTTTCTCCAGGATGAATTTTTTTATATGTAGAAAGGTTTGAGGCCTTATTATAGGCTTTGCCACATTCTTTAAATTTGTAAGGCTTCTCTCCAGTATAAATTATCTTATGTGCAGTATGGTGTGAGAACCACCTAAAGCCTTTGCCAAATTCTTCACATTTGTAGAATTTCTCTCCAGTATGAATTATCTTATGTGTAGTAAGGGTTAAGGATTGGCTAAAAGCTTTGTCACCGTCTTCACATTTGTAGGATTTCTTTCCAATATGAATTCTTTTATGAGTAGTAAGGTGTACAGATTGGTTAAAGGCTTTGCCACATTCCTCACATTTGTAGGGTTTCTCTC